TAGCAGTTGAGGTAAAAATACGTACTTTTAACTCAGTTTTTTACAGCGTTCAAAGAATTGAAAATACAACATTCACATGGACTTTGACATTGTTATAGCAGTGTCCATTATAGGCTTATATACTCGTATGAGTGAGCTTTTAAATGAGGTGGTATAGGCAGTAGCTTAATACTGCGTACATAAAATATAATACAATAAAATTAGACAATATCATAACATAGTTAATATACTATATAGGTATTTTAATATACTTTCATTTACAATAATTTTTTTTAAATATGTATTTTATAGATTTCTTAATTTATTTAKAYATTATATATTTATTTTAATTATAGTTCAGTTTGCTAACTCCCTACTATTGCACCCTATAATAATGTGGTAATTAGTCATTACTCATTATTGACCTAAAATAATGCATATTGTATCATYATATATAATTAATATACTACTGTATATTAAAATTATATTTCCTCTCATAACGTATCTCCATTTTAATTAAATTTCAAAATCATTTACCTACTTTTTATTATTAAATCTTATCTGGATGCTATTATATATTACGTATTCTAATATTMTATTATATTTCTGAACATCAAAATAATCTACCTTTTTTCCAAAAATTTATATTTTTGCCTTTGAAATACCTAAAGTATTTGAAATAGAAAATCCATTAAGCCATTAAGCTTGTCTTTAATAATATTTTACYGTATTTCGTTGATATTTTTCAGAGATATGAATTTCAAATGCAATCTCAAAAATATTAAATAACAACCGGGTAGTTGCGCGTGTAATTATTATTTTTCTTTTTTAATTTTTCATATAAAATAATATTCTTAGGTTTTTATTACTAGTTTAATCGTCAAGCATTCTATTATTATTCTATTATTATTCTATTCAACTTTACCTATAGACATTTTCATATACACACAATTTTAAGGAATTATTATTATTTACTAAACGTATATATTTTTTATGCACAGTAAAGAGTTAAATCTTGTGTTATTTTTAATGATTTTTTATTGATTCCAATTTTTAATGTATTTTTAAAATTCTTTTACTCTTGATAAATAATA